AGGGTAGAGCAGATGGGGGGCTGAAACACACGAAGCTCGGCCTCAGTTTAGGCAGCGTGCCAGGTCGCGTCTAGCGTGCGCAAGTGGGCGGCCAGGTCAGCGACAGTGGGGAAAGTCGCGAGATCAGGAATGAGCATGGGCAGGATGAGGCGACCGACGAAGGCAGAGGGCAGGGTGGAATAGCACGGGACAACAGCCTCTAGGAACTCCTGCGCAATCCTGACTGACCTAAAGCGGGGGCGCTCAGACAGGGGGAGGGCATGACTAATCGCAAGCTGTACGACAGCGTCACGCGACAACCAGACAGCACGGGCAAGGGCAGCAGCGGCAGCGGACTCTCGGTCAGCAGACGTGGGGTCAGCGAGTAGAGCAGCAAGGGGGTCAGGGCAGGGGAGCGTACCATTGATGTGGATGGCCAGGGAGTGGCCGTCCTGCCGCTGACCAGTAAGGTGACGGCGGAGGTCGACGCGCCACGTGTCGAACTCAACCGGCTGACCCTCCCCTTCAAAGCGCAGCACCGAGTCCGCCATCATGGTCGCTGCAGCGGGAGAAAGGCGGTCTTGGGCTGTACTGAGCGACAGATTGCGGCGGGAAGCGGTGGTGTGCGGTACGGTGCAGTACGGTAGACCGCGGTCTTGTGAGGTGCAGTACGGTAAGGTGTGGTGCAGTGCGGTGCAGAGCGGTGTAGTGCGATGCAGGGCGGTGCAGTGCGGTGCAATGCGGTGTAGAGCGGTGCAGTGTGGTGGAAAGGGCCGATGAAGCGCGGTGGGAGCCGCAGGGGCAGTAGAGGGACGGGGCCGCAAGGAGGCTGGGTGGTGAGGCCGCGAGGCGGCTGGTCAACAGGGGCCGCGTGGCGGGCAGGCGACCGGGTTGCGGGGCGGTCAGCCGATGGGGCCGCCGGGCGGCTAGGAGACAAGGTCGCGTGGCGGCTAGGAGACAAGGCCGCGTGGCGGCTGGAAGACGGGGCCGCGTGGCGGCTGGAAGACGGGGCCGCGTGGCGGCTAGGAGACGGGGCTGCGGGCAGCAAGGCGACTTGGCCAGCTAGGCAGCTAGGTGACGGGGCCGACTAGGCGACGGGGCCGGCTGGGCGACAGGGCCGGCTAGGCGACGAGGCCGGCTAGGCGACGGGGCTGGCTAGGCGACGGGGCTGGCGAGGCGACGGGGCCACGGGCGGCAAGGCGACGGGGCCAGCTAGGCGGCTAGGTGACGGGGCCGGCTAGGCGACAGGGTCGGCTGGGCGACGGGGCCGGCTAGGCGACGGGACCAGCTAGGCGACAGGGCCGGCTAGGCGACGGGGCCGACTAGGCAACGGGGCCGGCTGGGCGACAGGGCCGGCTGGGCGACGAGGCCGACTAGGCAACCGGGCCAGCTAGGCGACGGGGCCGGCTGGGCGGCGGGGCCGGTGAGGCGACGGGGCCGGCTGGGCGGCGGGGCTGGCGAGGCGACGGGGCCGGCTGGGCAACGGGGCCGGCTGGGCGACAGGGCCAGCTGGGCAACGCGGCCGGCTGGGCGACGGGGCCGGCTAGGTGCTAGGTGACGGGGGCCACTAGGGGACGGGCCCGCACGGGCGTGAGGGCGACAGGGCGGCTGGGACCTATGGCGGAAGCGCTGGTGGGCGAGGGGGACCTAACCTATGCATGATAACATATCAAAGTTAGCGAATGAATAGAACTAGGGCATACAAGGGAATATAACCTAGTGGGTTGTACTCTCTAGGGCACAACCTTGTATAGTCTATAACAACCTACAATGATATGTTTGACAAATATACGCTTTGTCCGCATAACTGAGGAAAAGAACATCCTTGAAGTCCCACATTGAGGGTTCCATTGCCAGCTGCTCGGAGAACGTGAAATGGAAAGTCTAAACATGATCCCCCTTGTGCGACCCCCTCTCCAAGGCCAACGCCTAAAGGAAAGTTCCCACTCAGAGGAAGAAGACACGCAAGAACAGAATCAACCCAGTGAAAGGCTAGTCGCGGAGGCCAGTGGAAAGGTAAGAAGGCGTTTGCCATGTCGATCGCGAGGGCCGGACGGAAAGCATGTGTGAGGGCCTTCACGCACTACCGAGATCCCACCCCCATATGCCATCCTAGAGCGAAGCACGAGGCATAAGGAGCGATTCAGGATACGCGAATTGCCACCAGCCGAACGCTACCATCGGGCTTCGAGAGGCCCACCGGGTTCGACACCGCCAACCAGGCCGAAACTTCTTTGCCACCTCCCCAGCCGTCCATTGCTTGAACAAAGCTAGCAGGTGGGGAAGGTAGGAGGGTTCGGAAGGAAAGCTTTGTGGTGGATGTTAAAAGGAGCTATGTGGGTAGAGGAGCCATTGAAGTGGCGAGATGTTTTGGGTTAGGAAAGTTGACGAGAGAGAAGAAGGTATGGACTAGAAGAGAAGGAGATACAAGAAGGGGTAAGTCCCCTCAACGGTAGGATTCAGTAAGTAGCATAACCAAGCCTACAATTATATATAAAAATATATAATTTAATACACCCCCTAGGCTTGGTAGTGGCAAGCCCATCCCACCCCCAGCACCCCCACATCCTTGCACCCCCATTCCATGCAGCAGCAGTAGCATCGGCCAGCCGGTCGACCCCTCGGCGATCGAGGTGGCGATGTCGACGGCGGGTCGCAGCGACTGCGGCGGCGGCGGCGGCAGGGCGTGCAGCACCTGCGGCGGCGGTGGCGGTGGCGTCGAGGCACCTGGCGACGGCGGCTGCGGCACCCGAGGCAACGGTGGCATGGCTCAACCTGAGACGACGAGGGGGGGGACGGCACGAGGTCGCCAGCAGCCTGTAGCAGAGGTGACTGCAGGGAAGGAAGGCGCTAGGCATCCTTGAGCAGCAAGAAAAGGGTTCCGACGCGGCGAGCAGGGTCCGACACGACGAGCTGGGAGGCGCGGGGAGCTGGAGAGCGAAGGCTTGCTGCTTGGTGCCTAAACCAGTGCGCGACCCACAGCCGCCCGTGCGCTGACGTCGACGACGCCGTCACGGCTTGGCGTCGACGCCACGACGGCGCGACGCCACGGCAGCGCGTCGAGACTGCCGCGGCGAGGCTGCCGCAGCAGCACGACAAAGCCGCCATGGCAGCACGACACGGCCGCCACGACAGCGAGGAAGTAACTAGAAGAAGGGGGGTACGCGGCGGAAGCGTGAGGAGGCGACCCAGCAGGGCGGACCTCCGGCTCTGATTCCATGTTAAAAGGAGCTAGGTGGGTAGAGGGGCCATTGAAGTGGCGAGAGGTTTTAGGTTAGGAAAGTAAACGAGAGAGAAGAAGGTATGGACTAAAAGAGAAGGAGATACAAGAAGGGGGATAGTCCCCTCTACATTAGGATTCAGTAAGTAGCATAACCAAACCTACAATTATATATAAAAATATATAATTTAACAGTGGACAGCGTCAAGAGCTGTGTGGTGTGTGCTGTGTGCCCTGTGTTGCTGTGTCGTTATATTGGTGTTTTGGTTGAGATAGATTTCAGGGTTGACATACATATCGTTATATGTTTGTGTATTGCGCTTTTCATTATTCTGTTAATACGTGGTGGGGACATCCAAGAAGCTGGGCCACATGAATCTTGATTGTCCTTCGGCGTGTGGAGCTCGAGTTGAATGGCAGCATGGTGTATCATTCGATATTGTCGTTTCAGGACAGGTGCATCGGAGCTGATCCTCTCGTGGAGGCACATCCTGATACCCATGCTGTGCTGGAGGTAATTTGCGGTTCTATAGGTTGGAGACAAGCCAATGAAAAGGCCCGATGGGGTACCATATGATTCGACACGCATCAACGGCAGGCATCATGTGGGAGGTGACGTCATTGATAACTTTCTATATTCAGAGAGTGGTTTCCCATATGTGGGAACAACCGAAGAACGATTGCTTCCGACATACATTTGCCCCATAATATTACCAGATTGGCATTTTCACGACAGCTATCTCGTCACGATATACACTCTTTGGTTTGCATTCTGTATTAGTTTACACTCTGAGAGTTCAGGATACAAAATGTATGAGGAAGCTTCGTACTCAGTGTCGTGCTGTTTGCCACCCCGCGGCCGCCCCGCTGACGTCAAGCTTACACTCTGGGCAATTTCCTCGCGTCGCGGTTTGTCACATTGAATCAACAAATTTTCGCGTGTCGACGACCCATGCTTTGGCCATTGTAATTTGTAACCCCACGAAACCGGCTGTACTTTTGCAATCCAATATAGAAGGTAATCGGGGACGAAAGTATGCAAACTTAGCGTTTGTCACTTGGATGGATATTCGGCGTAGGCGTCCATGTGGTAATTGAAGAGAGTTGTACGATCAGTTGGGGTCGCTCCCCTCCATTCTTGAGTCCTGCTTTTGTTCGAACACAGTGAGTTTGCTCCTGCAGACTCGTCAAAGGAGAACAGCTAATTTGCCTGTGTGTTGAGAAATTTCTGGTCATGTATAGAATTGTAGCGACTTCGAAACTAGCTTTTGCCCACAACTGCGTATAAGACAGTCCTGCCTCCCCTACCTAGCCTTCCCCTGAGGGCCTTGTGCAACCTGGGCCTTGTATCTGGTGGCAGAACAGTCACTCCACACCCCACACCAACCAATCTCCGGTTCAACAAGGAGATAGGGGAGCGTCCACTGATCGACCGATCTCGTGGGTGAATGTTTAGTAAGCCGTTTGAGCGTGTCCTAAGAGTACGTCCGGGGAACGCTTTTTACGGTCGGATTGGGTGCCTCAAATTACAAAACGGTGAAAATCATTTCGTACCGCGTGGCGCCTAAAATGCTACAGACACTGTACAGATCCTAATTAAACGTGTCTTGAAATAGTACATCCTGTCTTTACGTACAGTAATAGCTTTTTGTGTAAACTGTACTGTAATGTAAAATGTTACTGTACCCTTTTGATGTGAGTGTGGGGGACCACACCAAACACTCGTGCCGCGATTTCACCTGCTTCATGCTCTCCATATTTGAAGCCCTTGCTGTGATTCCACATCGCTTCCCATTCTGCCTCAATTATCCGCACTCTCGCAACTCTGTCCGTCTCTGCTCTTGTAAATTCCGCGCACTTGACTAATCTGCTGGGGGCTGTCAGAACGATTGCACCATGGTGCCACGTAGTTTGGAGCTCTCAGCTACCATAGTTCCTGTTAGTGTGCCCCTTGTGCACGACTCGCCCAGCGAGCACCACGACGACTCGACTCTCCCACAGAGCCACGTGATGCTACTCAAGGCCTCGTGCTGCGCGTCGAACGACTATGTGTCGCACATCGAGAATGCACGTGGAGCCAAGCCCGCTTCTCTGCTGACTCCAACGCTGAACTCATGGAAAGACGCCTCGTGCCCCACGTGGTACCCCGCGTCCCCGTCCTCGGCACTAGCAAGCGCATTGCCGCCGCTGTTCGCCCCTTCGCCAGTGCCGCACTTAGATGCATCACGAGCCAAGCTCGACGCGCGATCCGCTAGCTTGCCTGATGGATCGCGCGCCGCCAGCGTCGTACCAAGCGGGACCATCGTTGCGAGCAGCAGCACGAGCAGCAACAGCAGCGGCCACCACAGCGACCATCATGGCTTCGGCGGGGAAGTACGGCACGCGGAGCACTGGAATACCGGCGGGGACGCGGAAATCCAGTCGGGAGGGAGAGCAAGTGGCGCGAACCTGGCAGATCAGGCGCAATACGGCGCCGAGAATCACGCCGAGAGGCAGGTGGAGAGCGCGGACCGTCGCGGAGCCGCGGAGCCGTCAGCGCAGCGCGCTGAGTGCGGTATGACGCTCTCCGGCGCTTCGGACCTGCTGAACGACGCCACGGGGTGCGGGCAGGCGAGGCCGAGCCACGTGCTGGAGATGCTGTCGGCCGCCGTGCAGCAGCAGCAGGAGATCGGAGGCGACGACGGCCGTCACACCACGGACGGCGCGGCGGCGTCCGCCGGCCACGTCGGACATAACCCCGTGGCGCAAGGCATGGGGCTGCATCACCCTCACGCCCCCCAGCCTGGCGGGTCTCTTCGGTCCGGCGGGAGCCACATGGTGCCCCCGCAGAAGCGGCCGTGGAACCCGCCGCCTCTCCCCGCCATGGGGCTTAAGCTGGCGGACATCAAGCGCGTCATCGGCCTCAAGACCGCGCCGCCCACCAAGAAGTGAGTCTCGCCACCCTGCATCTCATTTCCTGCGCTCGCCCCGCCGTCGGCATTGGGCGACTCGTGGATCTGACCCAGATCCGTCTGCATCTGCCTTATACTCATGTGCTCTTGTGCTCATGTACTTTTCTCTCTTATCCCGCCAGGCCGCGCAAGGGCGAGTCGCCGAGCCCGTCGTCCGTGGCGTCGCAGCACGCGCCGGGCACGTCATCGCTGGCCCAGCGCCTGGCGGCGGCCCTCCCCGCCCACGCGCAACACCTTGCCGGCAAGCCGCCCCTCGCGCCGTCAGCCGCGACACTCTCCAATGTTCCTAACGCGCCGCAGGCCAGCCCCTGCGCCGACATGCCGTCCGCCCTTGCCCCCGGCGCGCCCGACGCCTCCCTCCTGTGCCGAGGCGGCGAGTCGCTGGACGACGTGGCGCGCCTCATGCCCTCGTGGCCCGGCGGCGCCATGAGCTGCGGCGCGCACGCAGGCGACATGTGCGGCGGCCTGGACTGCGCGGACGCCAGCCATCTGGCGCACGGCCCCATGCCCTGCGCACACTCGCCCGATGGCAGCGCGGATCCCGTCTGCGCGGGGTGCGCGGCGATGGAGGGAGTGGCGCAGGACGACATGCACACCGTCTGCCCGGGCTGCACGCCGAGCAACGCCTTGGCGCATGGAGCAGACGGGCCTTGGGGCACTGCTAGCGCCCACTGCCACGCGCCCGGCACGCAGCACATGGACATGATGGGTGGCGCCGTGCCGCCATACGTCAGTCGCTTTCCCATGGGCATGCGCATGTCCAGTTCCATGGCCATGGGAATGGACGCCCTCGGGAATACTTTGAGCATGGACCAACGCTTGCCCATGGGCATGAGCATGGCCATGCCCGGGGCCATGGCCATGGGCATGGGCATGGACGCCCTTGGTAACCCCATGATGTACCCCTGGCAGCAGCAAGCGCCGCACATGGGGTGCAGTTGCTGCCCACCATCGTCGCACGCAGGAGCGCCGTGGGAAGCGTCGCTGTCGCCAACGCCACCGCCTGCATGCCCGAGCATGCCCTTCCCGCCTGCTCCGCTCCTCACCCCGTCGCTGCATTCCTCCATGCGTCTACCCGCCAGCATGCCTGGCTCCGGCAGTGGCTCATCTGGCGCCCTCGAGGCGTCACTTGCTGCGCCGTGTGGCACGGGCGGCGGCCTGGAGGCGAGGCTGGCTGGTGCGCTGGGAGCAGAGGCGGCAGGGTGGGCGGGCACGGAGGGGATGGAGGATGGGCGCGATGCCGCAGGGCTGTTCTGCTCTGCAGCAGGGATGGCGGAGGGAGGCGTTGGCGGACCCGTGGAGGCAGCATGCGAGGCAGCATCGGATGACAAGGAGATCAAGAGAAAGGAGTCGAACCGCGTGTCGGCACGCAAGAGCCGGCAAAGGCGGCAACTGCAGATGGACCGACTAGAGGCAGAGGTGAGGGACGCCACACAAGTAGCATGTGCTGTGTGGGTGATGGCCGCATAGCTCGCTTTCTGGTGCATCATTGATTGACCTGTCGTTCCACATTGGTCTCATGCGTGTGCCAAGTCTTTCGCTTGTTGTGTATGGCATGCAGGCTGTGCGGCTTAGGGAGACAAACGCATCACTGTCACAGCAGGCGCAAGAGGCAGAGGCGCGTGTGGAGGAGCTGATGAGCCACCAGAAGGAGCTGCAGCGCCAGTGCGAACAAGTGAGGAGGCAGCTCCAAGCAGCCAAGGATGTTACCCAGGAAGACTTCCATGACACACACACTAGCAGGTGCTTTCAGTAGCTTTCTAGGGGGAGCATTCTATTGCCCAAAGGTTTTGCATCACATCACATGTCAAATATGGTATTGTGTTAGAAAACACACTTTGATATACAAGTGGGAACGGAATAGAACTGAGAAAGGCATACACACTGTACAATATGCACCACTAGACCTAGGGCATATGCTGCACTACAAATCCCAAACCATACTCTACACCCCAACCCTGCTTGTGCCTACCATGACATCAACCAAAGGTCCGCTCCAGACGCGTTATCGCTGGGCATCCCCCTCTGCGCCCTCTGCGCTCCAGGCATCCTGTCGGCAGCGCTGCTCTATGCATGCGAGCAGGTGCGCATGCAGGTTGTCTATGGTGCGCGGGAACGAGGTGGACGAGATGTCCGCCACATGCACGCCCTGCCATGCCATGCCATGCCAGAGAGGTTGCAGTGCAGTCGACAGCGCGTACACAAATAGCCATAGAATGAGGGAACAAGCACACAAATCAGGGCGGTTGCCGGAACGCCAGCACGTCAGAGGTCTGCATGTGGTGTGCGTACTGCATGGCCGTGCGGCATGGATGGGCCGTGCCTGAGAAAGCTGCATGCCAACCGAAATAGCAGCGACAGCAGACGGGCAGGGCAGCCCCATGATGGCACAGCAGCAGTGGGGCGCGCAGTTGGGGCGCAGGGACACGAGAGTTGTACGGTACCTGGGAGTGGAAGGAGGAGAGGTAGCGCTGCACGGCCTGCATGCGCGATAGCAGCGCCTCCATGGGCACCTGGGAGAGGGGATGCCAGACGTGAGGGCCCGTGGATGAACGGAAAGGGATCGCCTGACTGGAGGATGGCGCAACAGCAGGTTTTGTAAGGGATGGTGAAGGGAGTTGGACAATCACACTGGAGCTAGCGGGTCACCTGAGATAGCAGTGCAGCATTGGGTGCATGGGATGCGATCCACTCAGAGAGAAGCACCTGCGGCATGCATGCAGCGCACGCACACATATCAGCGCACACACAAGCACATGCACACGCACACGCTCACGCACACACATATATGGGCACATGCACACGCTCACGCACATGCACACGCACAGGCACACGCACATGGCCTTTCCCCCCCCCCCCCCCCACACACACATGGGCACACAGAGTTAGAGAGCCACATACACTCAGGAATACTGAGCATGGCAGGCACAAGCATGGCAGGCACAAGCAAGCATGGCAGGCACAAGCAAGCATGGCAGGCACAAGCAAGCATGGCAGGCACAAGCAAGCATGGCAGGCACAAGCAAGCATGGCAGGCACAAGCAAGCATGGCAGGCACAGCAACTTAAAGCACGGCATGAAGAACACCCTGATGCGGTGGTGAGAATAGCGATAGCAGCAGCAGAGGATGAGTGTGAGTGGTTGGCGTGCGTGCGGGCAGCAGCACACCTTATGGTCTGCTGGGTGCATTTGAAGCACAATGGGAACAACAACGGGACGCAGCCGCTTTGACGCCGCCCCTGATGCTGCATCTGCTGCTTCTTCTGGTGCTTTTGGTGGCGCTGCAGTGGCTGGTGAGCCACGTGCAGCAGGATCAGATGGTAAATGCTTCGCCACAGAATCCCGTGCTCCCCGTGCCTGCTCTCTCTCCCCTCTCCCCGCCCCCACCTTTCCCCGCATCTCCCCTGCAGAACCATTTCCCTGGTTACCATCCCCCATTCGCCCGCACGCACGGCTGTCTCGCTCTTCCTCCACCATCGCCCCTCCCTCTCCTCCCCCTGCCCCCTGCCCTTCTGCCCCCTCGCGCAGCTCGCTGCCCTCCACCTCCATGGGGTCATCTCCGCCCCCCTCCCTGCCATCGCCCATCGGCCCCCACCTTGCACTAGCATCACCACTGCTCGCCCCGCAAGCAGCAGGGGCGATGCTTAGTTGTGGTTGTAGGAGTGGTGCTGCTGGCGTGGCGGCCTGGGCAGGTGGTGGTGGCAGGGACACAGGCACGGGCGGCGGTGCAGCACTGAAGGAGAGGAAGTTGGCGTCGGGGTCGATGTGTGTGCCCTGGTGCAGTGGCGGAATAGCCATGCCATGCCATGTGGTGCACAAGGGGCGGCGGGGGTTGGACAGAGACAAAGGGGGGGAGGGGGGGAGCGGGATGGAGAGTGGATGGGTTAGAGAGGGGTTTGGATATAGCAGCAGGCAATGGCAGCAGAGATGGCAAGGGGGTTGTGCGCACATGGAACGAAGAGGTCTGGGGACATATTGGTTCCAGATGCGCAAAAACGACAAGGGAAGGTTCAGCACGTAGATAAAAACGGAACTGTGGCAAGGTGGCTGTGCGCACGTGGAACGTGCAACACAGGTGATGGCAAGACAGGCTCAACAGGTGAGAGGGAGTGAGAAGACGGGGGGAGCACAAACGGATACACTGCATCGCACTCCCTCAACCCACAGCTTCCACATGCCTGCATGCATTCCACTCCCACTCCTCACCCTCCCCTAACCCCGCCTGCCCTCTCACACCCTTCCCTCATCCCCATCCCCCTCTCTTCTCCCCCTCCCGCTACTCCCCTCGCCCCACAAGGCAGCACGGCGATGCAGGCCCATGCCCTCCCATCAGTGCCGCACCTCAATGATGACCGGCTTGCCCTCCCTCAGCGCCTTGCTCAAATCGCCCTCCAGCCCTGCTCACATGCCGCCATGGGAATACACAGCCAACAGTCGCAACGATTAAATGGGGATTTCGAGATCGATACGGGGCGAGGGAAGAGAGATAATGGAAAGGACGCAGCAGAGGGCAGAAAAACACACGCAGGAGCAACAGAAACAACAGTGCACGCGTGGCAGCAACCCCTGTGCTTCCTGGACGCACTCCACCCCCCCACCACACAGGCCGGGAAATCACAGCCCATGCTGCGAACAGACAGACCATTGCAGCATGGGCCATGCTGCCATCTGACCCTTGCGAATGATCCCACACTTGCACCCCACCCCCCCTTTGCCCCGTGCACCCTTGCGGATGATCTTGCACTCGCGGCAGAACTCCGCCACCACGTCCTCGTCGCCCGCCAGGTCCGCGCGCGCCCACAGCGGCAAGGCATGCAGCGGCGACTCCGGCAGGCCCTGCAACAGCTCGTACACCACGTCCGTCTGGGGGGGGGAGAGGGGAGGGGGTATGGGGATGGAAGGGGGGGAAATGAGAAGAGCTGTGACTGCAAATTACGGGGTGATGGCAAGTGGGACGGAAGGAGGGGGTGGGGCGAGGGGGTTGAGCCCCAAGGAGACAAGGAGAGTGCGAACCACAAGGAGAGATGCTTGCAGGTCCAACGGCGAAGAGATGAGCAAGGAGGGGGAGGGAGTGCAGGGGGGGTGGGTGGGGGAGATGGAGATCAGGAAGAGGTAGAGTAAGAGGAGGAGGAAGAGACGAGGAAGAGACGAGGAAAATCGAGACAAGAGAGGGAGTGCGCAGAGACCTGGAGGACGTTGGGGAGGTTGAGGCGCTGGGCGAGCAGCGAGGCGATGGACGACTTGCCCGTGCACGGCAGCCCCGTGATGAAGATCACCAGCGGGATGCGCCGCTGGTAGAAGCTGGGGGGGGGTGGGGGAGGGGGTAAAGGGGGGGTTTGCGGGGGGAGGGGGGGATGGTGGGAGAGAGATGGTGGAGAGATGTCAGCAAAAAAGGGCGGGATAGTAAGGATACGGAGAGGGAAAGGGAGGCGTCCTGCGTGCGCAGAGCCCAAAATAGCACTATGAGATGGCCACAGTGGTCCCACAAGCAGCGAGCAGGAGAGAGCGCGGCACGGCATATGAGCGGCTGCAGGGCAGAGACCTGGTCATCATGCGGTATCGCCCCACATAGTCGTCGCCATAGCCTCGCCGCCGCATGAGCGCGAAGAGGTTGCGCTCCAGGTCGCCCTGACTGACGTCCAGCAGCCCGTGATCCACCAGCAGCTTCTTCAACTCCAGGGCCACCTGGTGCCATGTGGTGTGGTGCCATGCCATGTGACGTGCCATGTGGTAATGTGAGCCATGCCATTCCACATGTAGTTGAGTAATGAGGATACAGGATGGTGGGATGGGCGAGTCCACGCAGTGAATCTCGCATGGCGTGGCATGCCAAACAGAGCGTCCACGCAGTGAATCTGCTCCAGCCTTGCACCACGCAAGGTGGGGCATGACGCAAGTTAGCCGAGGCCAATATACGTACCTTGGTGGCCACCACATGGGGCATGCGTGTGACGGTGAGCATCCTCGCTATAAGGAATCTCGACAGCACGTAGTAGTGGTCGTCGTTCTCTCCCAGCCATACGCGCACCTGCTTCAAGCACAGCTACAGGGGAGGCGGGCGAATCAGGGGGGCGAGGGGGAAGGGCAGTAAGCGGAGGCGCAGGAAGGGAATACACTGCAGAGTCTGACCGCGCATCATACGCCTTCCACCCAGAAGCACCGCACTGCACCGCGAACGCCCTTATCTGGGGCTAGAAAGTAGATTGAGTATGCTTTTTAGCGCAACGCCGGTCGCGGGCAAGGGCGAAAACCCATAGCGCTGCAGACGCGCATGCAGCAAGCGGCGGCGTCCCCTAGCGATGGCGGTGCCCCCGTCGGCCGCCGCGACTCGTACCTTGACGAAGTCGTACTTGGACGACGTGTGCCGCGGCGGCGCCTCCACCGCCACCGAGCTGCTCGCCGGGGACGGCACCGCCGCCACCCGCGCTACAAACGGCGGCGTGCTGGCCGGCACGGGCGGGTCCAAGACGGCAGCCGCCGCGGATGTCGCCTGGGAGGAAAACTCTGGACCGTCGGATCTCATCTGAGGCCTGGACGTGGCAGACATGTCGGAACGAGCGTCGTGGCACGCAGATGTGGAGAGGCTACTAGAATCGCGGGCGAAGCGAAAGGGCTGCTCGGTGGTAACCAAGTCCATTCTCGCTGCGTGAGTGGAGAATTCGGGCGGAATGGAGAGGTAAGGCAAGAGACGAGCACGTCAACATGCATGATGCGTGGTGGAGCGGAGGGAGTGCCTGTCTAGTCGATGTGTGGGCGAGAGGCGTGCAACTGGCCGCTGAGGGTGTTGGCAGCCATGGAGAGAGCAGCAGGGGGTGGGAGGGAGGTGTATCATAATCAGCGAGTGCAGTCAAACGGGCGCGCTGTGGCGATGACGGCAGCAGGGAGGAGGAGGACACGTGTGCCTCAGAACTGGTACGCGCTATGACAGGAGTTTTATTGCTAGGTTGAAAAATGTTGAAAATATAGCAACTTGTTGTGAATATGGTGGCTCTAACTTGTAGAAGCAAATGCAACCGTAATGTAAAAAAAAAAGGAATAATAGCGCAGCGAGTAAATATGCAACCATCAAGTATCATGGAATTTGTAATGAAATATAAGGAAAATGGGGCCTGAACTACAGTACGAACCAGGTTCAACTCCCCTTTACTTTTATGTAACCGATGTGAACCCAGGATCGTTTGGATTCTAGGTGCCAGTGAGCAGAGCAGACATTTCAAGCTCGCCCCCTCTCCCTGGCTTCATCCTGGTCTCACCTCATGGCTTCCCCGGCCGCTCGCTTGGCCGTCCACCGTTCCTTGAAGTGCGCGCATGCGCGACACGCCGCGTCCCTCCAGCCTGTCCATTTACCGTCCTCCTCGCTCCTTTCCTTGCGGCTGCACCGCATCCTCGCCAAGCCCTCGCCGCCATTCATACGGTCGCAATCGCTGCAAGCCACCCTTGACGGAGTCGCCAGAGTTTCGCCAGCTCATTCTCTCGAATTGCCTGCTGCGATTCCGGGAGTGCTCGGCACGTGGCTCTCGCGTAGTTCTCAAGAGTTTTGGAGGGGTCGAAGGGTTTCCGCCAAGGAGCGCTCTTTCAGCGGATGGGCGGGGGGAGGTCAGCGGGGGGCGGTGGTGCGCGCGACAAGGGGAGGCGGAGTCAGTCAGCGGAACGACAGGGACGGCAAGCGCGGCAAGGGGACTCAACACAGGGAAAATGCAGGCAGTGGCGGAGCTGGCGGCAGCAGCACCACCGGCGGGCAGGACGGGGCTAGTAGAAGGGGCAGTACGAGTAACGGGAGGGGGAAGAGAGGAGGCAGAGGGGGAGGGGACAACAGGGCAGGCGTCTGGGGGGAGGCGGAGAGGCGGGAAGAGTGGGGGGAAGGAAAGGCGCAGGCGGAGGGCAGTGGTGGGGAGGCTGTAGGTCGAACGAGTGCGCGGGCGAAGCATCTTTTGGGGGATGGCGGCCACGCGAAGGGGCGAGAAAGCGGAGGGGAGAGAGAAGGGGAGATGGGAGGAAAGAGTGTGAGGAGAGAGGTGAGAGAGGGTGCGGATGACTTAGGGGGGAAGCGCGGGGAGGGGCGGGGGGGCAGCAGAGGCAACATCATCGACGAGGTTGCGGCAGCAATGGAAAAACGTGAGGTGAAAGGACGCACGGTGGAGGGGAGGGGACATGCTCGCAGGCTACGGGTTTAAAGTGCCGGGTTCAGGGATTTTGGTTCACGAGGCAAGGGTTTAGCTCTGTTAGGACAGGACAAGGCTTCCCTTCGCCTTGAGTCGCATCAGCTCACCTCCTTGCATCCTTATCCATTGGCCTTACACATCACCACCCTCTTCTGCCCCTTCACCATTTTCCTTTTCCCCCTTGTTACCCCACCTCCCCCTCCCCTCTCCCCCAGCCCCTGCGCGTGTGATTCTGAAGCGGGGGCGCGCAGCCCTGTTCGCGTCCGCGAGCCCCGCCCCGCTGGTGTTCTCGGGCGCCGTGGACTGCGTGCTGGGCCGCCCCCCGCCCAGGGCAGGCGACCTCGTCGTGCTGGCCGCGCGCAGGGGGGAGCAAGGGGGTGCGGGCGGGGGAGGGGAAGAGGGGGAGGGAGGAGGAGCGGCATCGGGGGAGTGGTCGCAGGGAGTGGCGGTGGCGTGGGGGGTGTTCAACCCGACGTCCATGTACCGCGTGCGCATCATGCAGACACTCACGGATGCCCACAGGTGATGCCCACAGGTGATGCTGATGTGCCCTCACATGCAGCCTGCCGTGGCATGGCACAGCATTGTGACCCATTGCAGCTCCACCCATCCTGCTTTCCCTTTCCTCACCGCTTGGTCTCACCGCCTTCTCCCCCTATGCCTTTCCTTCTCCCTCTATGCACCCCCTCTCCCCCAACCCCCTGCCTCCTGCCCTTCCGTGCACCCTGTGGCCACAGGCACCCCGAGGCCGTCCTGAGCATGCCGTCCCTGCTGCGCCTGCGCCTGGCCTCGTCGCTGCACCTGCGCCTGCTGCTCGGCCTCTCGCCCCTGCCATGCCCCGCCACCGGTGGGTGCCACTGGGTGGGGCCAAGTGGGGGTTGCAGAGGGAGTAGGGAGATTTCATACTATTGAGTGTTGCTTCCAGGCTAGCTTAACCTCCCTCTGGGTATCCTTCGTACTTGATCCTCCTATCCTTCTGTGCACCCTCTGTCATCCACCATCGCTTGCACATTCCAGCAAGTGGCCAGGGTGTGGGCAGCAGTGCCAGGGGCATAGCAGGGGGCACGAATGCGTTCCGGCTCGTGAACAGTGAAGGGGACAGGTGAGACGGGGAGAGCGGTTGTGGACGAAGACAAGCAATGGACTTAGAGGAAGGAGATGGAAGCTAAGTTGGAAAAACGCTCAACTTAGATTGCGTATTGCATTTAAACGCATAAGAAATACGAACGCTGCGTTTTTGGTGTAGATACGCCGAAATACGCTCGGGCTGCCCGAAAAAAAAAACCCCAAATTTGCCGACGCTTTGCGACATTGCGAACCAAAATTTCGCTTTCGCACATCGCGAACTCAAATTTGAGTTTTTAATTTCCAACCCGAAGCGCACCAAACCCCCCCTTTTGACCCATTCCCACCCCTCACCACCCCGTCACTTCTCAACCCCTCCCAACTCATCCTTGAGAGGGGTTGGCATCAAACAGAGCCAGCTTCCCAAGCATAAATTACCGCCATTTTAACCCCCCCCCTTCCCCGCCTTCCCCGCCACTTAACCCCAATTTTTGCCTGCCCAGAAAAGTTTTTCCCCTTCCCAGACCACCGTATTCCATGCGTTTCCGACCCCCTCCATTCTGGCGTATTGCGTATAAACGCTCTCGTATAAACGCTCTCGTACAAAACGCGATACGCGTGTATTCCAACTTAGGATGGAAGGTGTCGACAAGGAGAAGTGGGGAACATGCGGGTTGACTCGCACTAGCTATCCTGTGTGCACACCCTTGTGTTCTTACAACCATACCGTATAGCTCGATCTGCAACCCCTGCCCTGGCGCCATCCCTGCTTCCTCCACCTGTGTGCCCTCCCTCTCTCCCCTCTGCCCCCCGCGGCCAGGCTGTCCGGGCTAATAGTGGACGTGTATGGGGACCGCATGGTGGTCGCGTCGTCCGCAGCGTGGGTGGAGGCGCACCGCCTCGATGTCGTGCACGCGCTCTCACATCTGCTCCCTGCTGGCGGTGCAAGCACCCAGGGGCGCGCGGAAGGGAGCGTTGATGGGGGGGAGAGGAGGGAGGGGGTGGTGGTTGGAGGGTTGGAGGGGCATGAGAGGATCATTTGGAGACGGTCAGTTGAGATGTTGAGAGAGGAAGGGGTTGTGGTGGAGGGGGGAGAGGGGGAGGGGAGGACAGCATTTGGTGGGGAGAAGGCAGATGGGGAGGATGACGGAGAATTTGAAAAAGCAGGGGAGGCGGAGGGGGTGGAGGAAGGAGGGACGCAAGCGATGGTTGATGGCAACGGCGGCGCCCAAGAAGGGAGGATGGAGAGAGGGGCGGCGCTTGAAGTGAATTTCGACCACCAGGCAACAACGGCAACAACAGCAGCAGACAGATTACCACAGTCACCGCTTTCAGGAGCCACACCGGAGCCTTCCTCGGATGGCGACAGGGTGAAGGTAACGTGTAGAAAACAGAGCCCCTAAGCTCTCGCCTGCTGTGTTGGCACTGGTGATGCACATGCTATTTGCATGGACGGGAAGTGTTTCCAAGGCAGTAAAAACCTCATCACGCCTTCCCATGCTCCACTTGCTGCGGTGCAGGTGTGGGAGAACGGGGTATTGTTCTGGGTGGCCATGGCGAGCGGGCAGAAGACAGGCTTCTACTCGGACCAGAGGGACAGCCGCCTGCTCGTGCGCTCCCTCGTGGCCTCGTCGCTGCTGGGCCATGCGGGTAGCACAGCACACGGTGGCAATGCTGCTGAGGTCAATGTGCCCTCACCTGCGTTAGCCCACCGCCCTCTGTCCCGAGTGCTGGACCTCTGCTGCTACAGCGGAGGCTTTGCTATCAATGCTGCTCTTGCCGGTGCTGCTGACGTCACAGGTGGGCAGGGCACGTGCGCACACACTTGCTCGCAGCCACATAAGCTGTGGCAGCATGCGAAAGATTGCACTTGCTGTGCTGCTTGCAATCTGCAGGGCGAGTGCCATATGGATTTCCTGACTGCATGTGGAGTCAAGCACTCAGCATGTTGCTGTCACCTTGATCTTCACATCAGGCCGCACTCTGCCCATCACCATCTCGTTGATTCACTCGCCTTCCTTGCCCTGCAGCGCACCACCAAACTGTTATGCTCTCATCCCCCCCTCCACCCCATTCCCTCTTTGCTCCCGCCACCACCAGCGGTGGACTCTTCCCCCTCGGCCCTCTCCCTGGCAGCAGCCAACGTGGCGCTGAATGGTCTGCCACCCTCTGCCGTGCGCTTTGAGCGAGCGGACATCAGTGCGTTCATGCAGCACGCAGTAGCTGAGCAGCGCCAGTGGGACCTCGTGGTGCTGGACCCGCCCAAGCTCGCCCCCACGCGCAAGGTAGGGGCCTGCCTTGAGGGACTTGGGTCTGTGGACGAGCTCTTGGGCTGGCAGGTGAAGTGCATTCATGATCTGTCTGCCGAAACCTGCTGTCACGAGTCTCTAAGCTGAGTTCCTTTCGCTGCCCACCTCACGTTGCTGCTCCCACTGTCGATGAGTCTCCCTCTTCCATCCCTCATTCCTGCAAGCCCCCCTCTTCTGTGCCTCCCGCGCCTCCCCCCCTCCCCCCTCTACCCATCAGTCTCTCCCCCGCGCGCTGCACCGGTACCGTCGTCTGAACAGCCTGGCCCTGCGGCTGGTGGCGCCGGGAGGGCTGCTGATGACGTGCTCGTGCTCCGGTGCTGTCTCGCAGCAGCACCTGCTGCCCGGCATCCTCAGGGTCCGCTCATCTCCACGCTGCCCACATACTCTGTCCTGCCCGCCCTACCTTCTCGTCCACCCTCTTCCGTGCTCTATTCTGCCCTCTCTCCCTCCTACTCTGGACGTGTTTCTCTTCCTCCCCTCCTCCTTTTTTGGCTTTCCGCTGTCTCTCTCGCGTTTTCACGACCCCCCTCCCTCTCTCCTCCCTCTTGTGCCCCCCATCCCTCCCAAACCATCTCTTTCCATCCTTGGATTATTTCCTCCACAGCACATCTCAGCAGCAGTCTCTCACCACATTCTCTCCACTGTACCACACGTCCCACTACAAACTCCTGCCATGTCACAGCAATCTATGGAGCGTTGTCAATCTGCGTTGCTCACCCTAATCAGAGTCACAAGTGCTCATCCTTGGCCCTTTCCTCCCTCTTCACCGTTGCCGCATCCCTTCACTTCCCCACACCCCTCAAGCAGGAGGCAGCGGCATCAGCAGGGCGGCAGGTAACAGTAGTGCGGGAAGCAGGTGCTGCCCCTTGCCATCCCATCGACCCCGCATGCCCTGAGGGCACCTACCTCACCAACCTTCTTGCCTTGGTGCACTGATGCTGCCTGCTTCTGTATCAGCTGGCATGGATGGGGTACATTTGAGATTAGGGATGGACACTCGCACCAGTGGGATGCAGTTGCCAACTTGCCAGTGCAGACACGATAGAGTGTAAGGGACTCTCCTATGGGCGCTGTGTCAACCTATACATTTGTACTGTATGTCTAGTTATAGGCTAGACAGGTTCGTGCGTTAAATTACTTATTTTAGTATATAATTGTAGGCTTGGTAGGCTTACTGAACTTTACAGTAGAGGGTACAACATGTTAAAGTAAGAACTGAATAATGTGAACCTAGAACAAATACTAGTTGGTTGTACTCACTAGAAGCATACCCCAGTCTAGCCTATAACTTCTACATAGCTAATAAGTATAAGTTGACACACCCCCTAGGCTAGACAAGGGGTGAAGCTAAGCAAGAAGCAAACAGCTCAGGGTGGCACTACTAGTCCAACCACTGAGGCAGGGGTCTTGAGACCAGTTAGCAAGAGTACAAACAGGACTAAAGCAAGTCAGGGCGGCACTACTAGTCCAGCCACTGGAGGTAAGGCCACAAGGCCAGTCTGACAGGTATATATAATAGAGAGTACACAATCAGGATCCTAACAGGTGAGTAGCTACAGGAACAAGACCAAGCTGTACACAGTGCCGCTGATGATCTTTAGGCGCAAGCGCCTTAGTAAAGATATCAGCTGTGTTGGCACCTGAGGCCAAGTGAACTACGCGGGCCTGACGGCGCCGCTGTAACTCGCGCAAGAGGAAGTACCATACCTGGGTATGCTTCGCTCTGCCCTCAAGCCGAGGCTCCTGACACATGAGTATCATGGCCCTGTTGTCAGCGTACAGGACCGGGGCAGAGCTAGGCCGCTCACCTAAGTCTGTGAGCAAGAAGGTCAGCTAGCGGAGCTCCTGTGCCGCTATGGCACCAGCGAAGATCTCAGCCTCACAGCTAGACTGAGCAACAGACGACGAGCGAGTGGATCTCCAAGAGATAGCACCCGAACCAAGGCTAAAACAGTAGCCCTGCGACGACCTGAGCGTCTCAGAGTCGTCTGCCCAAGAAACGTCTGTGTGCCCAGTAAGGACCACTGGCCTGCGTCCTCCTAGCACTAACCCCATGCCCGATATACTAGCAAGATAACGCAAAAACCTCTTAGCGGCAGACCAGTGCTGAGGTCGGTGTCTGCCTGTAGTCACAAAGCGAGCCAGGATGCTGAGAGGGTATGCGAGATTTGGGCGAGTGCAAGTCATCAGGTACATGAGGCAACCCACCAGCTCTGCGTAGGGGCCACTAAGCTCTACTTGCTCCTCAGGAACAGGAGCGGAGAGCCCATGGTCTACAGGTAGAGGTGTGGGCTGTGCGAAGGAGAACTGAAGACCGAACCTCTGAAGGACCTTACGCACAAAGTGTGACTGTGTCAGAGTGATGGTGCGTGCTGCTCTGTCCCTAGAGATCTGGAGGCCAAGATAGCAACGCAGCTCTCCAATGTCCGTGCAGGTGTGTCTCTTCAGCAGCTCGACCTTCACAGAGGCCAGTGCGTCCCTGTCAACAGTAGCAAAGACCAGGTCGTCTATGTAGACAAGGATGTAGAACGGAGTCTGGCCAGAACGCATAAACAGTGAGGGGTCAGCAGAGGACGGAAATTACTGCAGGTCTGCTAACGTGGCACGCAGCGTGTCGTGCCACTCGCGGGGAGCCTGACGCAGGCCGTAGACCGGGCGCCTGAGAAGCCACTGGGTCCCAGGGGGGAAGGTACCAGTGAAGCCCTGTGGTCGGCGCAGGTAGACCTGCTCGTGTAGGCTGCCCTGAAGAAAGGCAGTAGAGAAATTGAGGGAGTGAAGCTCGTAGTCGCGCTGTGCTGCTACGTGTAGCAGCGCCCGAAGAGTGGTCATCTTCGGGGTCGGGGCGAAGGTCTGAAAGAAGTCAACCCCTCGCGCTGACTGAAGCCTGTGGCCACGTAGCGCGCCTTGAAGACAGGCGGCTCTCCAGGGGGGCGCTTCACCTTGAAGAGCCACCAACCATCGACTACGTTTACCCCAGGCGGGGGAACTGCGTCGACGTAAGTGCCGGTGGACCTCTAAGATGCCATCTCCTGCTCCATGGCACCTATCCACTGAGAAGCCCAAGGTCCCGAGGTGGCCTCAGCGTAGGTGCGCGCAGTCAGGATGTCGAAGGCGTCTGGGTCACCCTCACGGACTAACAGCATGGAGCAGAGATGGGGAGCAGCCTCGGAAAGGAAAGCAAGCTCGTATTGCCTGTTCTCTAGGACGTCACTGCCAAGGGCAGGAGCACCCCCGACGGACGGAGGACGGGTAGGGTCAGAGACCAGAGCGGTAGCGTAGTCAAGGCGGCGGGTAGAGGCGAAGTCAGCGACAGCAGCGACAAGCGCGTCAAGGCGCGAGTCAGGAACAGAAGGGTCGGTAACAAGAGAGGCAAGAACCCGAGGGACAAGGGGACGAGCGGCACGGAGGTAGTCAGAGAACGGAGGAGGTGCAACAGCAAGCGACGAGGGAGGAGGTGACGGGAGGAGGGGAGGACGAGACGAGTGGGAACGGAGCAACATAGGGTGGGAGCGCAGGACAGGAGAGGTGGGACGGGCACGAAAGGGACGACGAGACCAAACGTGGGACGGAGGTGTAGGGTCAGGAGACAGCGGAGGGGACACAGGAGGGGAACGAGGAGGAAGACGGGCCGGAGACGAGTCCGGCGGCGGGAACACAGGGCCGTAGACAGGAAGGTCAGCAGGCGGTGGGGGAGACACCGGCGAGCGGTCAGGGGAAAGAAGGCCAAGCAGGAGGAGAGCGGAGACCGGCGGTGACGGCTGCTGCGACGGCTGGGCTGCGACCCTTGGACCGGCAGTACTCTCAACGGCGGCACCCCCAGAACCTACACCTCCAGAGCGAGAACCCTCTTCAGCACCAGCGGCACCCCCAGGCCTGCCGGGACAAACCACGCCAGGAGCCGCAGGACGAACACCCTCCTCAACGCCAGCACCCCCAGAGGCCAAGAGCGGCGGCGGCAGCGGCAGCGATGGCGGCGGTGGCGGCGGCGGCAACGGCGGCGGAGTCGGCGACTGCGACAGGGGAGGCGAAGACACCGGGGAAGGGAGACTCGGCAAGGACGGGGCGGGGGTACCACCAGAGTCAGCAGACTCCTCAACGGGGACAACCGATGAGAGGGGAGTGACGTGAGAGACACCAGACGGGGCAGGGCGAGGCGGGAGAGGAGCAGGGGCTATCGGGGGAGAGGGAGCAAGGAACAGGGGCGGGGCAACCGGGAGACCGCAGTGAGGGAAGCGGCGGTAGAAGGAGACAGACTCGTCAAAGGTGACGTCACGAGAGTGGAGGAAGCGGTGAGACGGCGGGTGGTAGAAAAGCCAGTCAGACGAGTCCAGGGGGAAACCGAGGAAGACACAGGGGACTGTGCGGGCAGTAAGCTTGTCCGTGCCGGAGGCACGAACGTGAGCAAGGCAGCCCCAGACGTGGAACGCAGACGCGTCACCGGGGGACCCGGTCCAAAGGAGGGTCGGAAAAACCTGCGGCCGCTGGGAGCGTGGCCACAGGTTAAGCTAGTGAGCGGCGTAGCGAACGGCGAACGGCCACAGAAAATGGGGTGCACCGGCATGGATCTTGGAGGTACGAGCCACCTCCATGACCAAGCCGATGCGGCGCTCAGCAACCCCATTCTACTGTGGTGAGTCCGGCAAGGTGTACGACTGGGTGATGCCCTCCGCACGACAGAACTGTCCAAGCCGACCAGAGGAGAACTCGCCGCCACGGTCAGAGTGGAGACACAACACGGGGAGACCGCGGTGAAGATGCGCAGTCACAACCCACGGGAGAAGAACGTCGGGCACGTCAGCCTTTCGCTCTAGGGGAAACACCGACGAGCACAAGGAAGTAGCGCTCACCTCGCGGTCCGGGGACAGGGGCAGGGCCTCAAACGTCTAGGTGCAGGGTCTGAAGGGGGGCAGTAGCAGGGCGCAACGAGGAGGAGTGAGGAGCACGGCGGAGCCGGCCCTCGACGCAAGGTGTGCACGGTGGCGCAGTCGAGGGAGGAAGGGCAGGGAGCGACGCAAGGAGACCTAAGACAAGACCGTGCTGGGACATGTGACGCAGACGCGGGAGAGCAGGGTGACCTAGGCGGTGGTGCTAGAGAAGGGACGGGTGAGTGAGGGTCCGACACGAGCAAGTTGCAGCGAGTTGGGAGGACGCACCAACCGGGGGGGAAGCGGCGTCGAGGGTAAACAGACCGGACACCGGGTCCCGGGGGAACGTCGCAAGGGGGGAACCTGACACAGCCTCAGAACTGACAGCAAACCGCTCGTGCCCGGGGAACGTGGTGGTCACGCCGAGGTCCTGGAGACAGCCGACACCAACGAGGTTCCTCGAGAACGAGGGAACGTGGAGGCTTGTAAGGGAGCCCGAGGGAACTGCTGGACAGGGAAGGGACGTGGAGCTGCGAGTGACAACAGGACCCGCAGAGGGGTCAGCGAGAAAGACAACAGTAGGCATAGCAAGCGGCGTGAGCGCGGAACGGTCGCGGAAGAAGCAGGCAGAAGCACCGGAGTCGAGAGTGAAGGACAGCGAAGCTGTGGCGAAGGTCGGGAACGGAGCCGGTGCAGAGACTAGGCTAGGCAAACTAGGCAGTCCTACGCTCGATGCAGCAGGGGAGGCTAAGCTACACAACGGTGCAATACCTAAACTAGAGTACACAGGGTAATAAGATCCAGCAACACTAGAAGCGCCAGAATGCAAGGCATGCAAAGCAGCACCTATCTGATCCATGTCTAACTCAAAGATCGGCACGCCCTGGCGGAGCAGGCTGTGCCAGTCGGGGAGGTCCGGGGCCGGGCCAAAGCGACGACGAAAGAGATCGTCGAGGCGGCGGAAACAGCGGGTGGTCAGGTGCGGGCGACGGCACATAGTGCCGCGAAGAGGCCCGGTCTGAAGCTGGTACTGGCAAGTGACAGCACCGGAGCCGCCGGTAGACACCGAGCTGCGCGGGCCGCCACCACGGCCACTACCTCCGGAGGTGCCGGGCCAACCAGGCGGGAGACGGGCCCACGGCTGCGGCGACTGCTGCTGGGACGGCGGCTGCTGCTGGGGCTGGGGCTGCTACTCCTGCCCACCGGTGGTAGTCCCCTTAGACGGACTACCGTCACCACCACCACGACCACCACCACCTGCGCCACCACCCCTACCTCCCTGGCGACCATGGCGACCGCGGCGCGAGCGCTGCTGCGGGTGGACCGCAGCAGCCGTCTCGGTGAGAGGGGTCGCCGTGGCGACCGCAGCCGAA